GGCGCGGCACACTTTCCTATTGTTTCTTAAAAGATTGATGGCCTTGCTTTCCCAACCCCAGCTGTTCATGGCTGTGGTTGCTATCTTGTGGCGTATTTGGCGCTCCCGTAACTGGGTGGTCTTTGAAGGCAAACAGTTTGGGATCGATGCCTTAATGCGTCATTTTCATCAGCAATATGAGGAATGGGTTCGATTGCCAATGGATAAGGCTCGCCAACATCCGGTCCCGATGGGGGAAGGGTTAGGGATAGGCGAGGTAGGGGGGTCATCTGTCAGTGGGATGGGGGGATTCGGCCAGGGTCGCATGCGGCTGGTGGAATTGTCCTGTTATCCCCTGATAGGAAGGTCCTGCTGGCTAAAGGCGTCCAGTTCCCTCTTTTGGGAGACCCAATGACGGTGGAGTTACTGGTCCTTCGGGAGGCGGTTTTATGGTGTCTGGCGAATAGCTTCACTAATGTTCTATTTGAAGGGGATGCGAAGGTGATCATTGACAAACTCAATCAAGGGGATGCCAGAGACAATCGGGTGGGTGCTGTTTTGGAAGAAGTTTTGCATTATTTTCGCATCCACCCCGGTTTGAGGATTCGATTCGTAGGTCGGAGTAGTAATAGGGTAGCCCATATGGTGGCTAGGAAAGCCCTCTCTTTGTACCCGGTCGCGGATCGTGACTTTAATTATCAGGCCTGACTGCTTTCCAGGATGTAACTTTCTTTCTTGATATTAATGCAGATTATCTTTTGTAAAAAAAAATGGAGATCTACCGGTTTGGCATGTAATCATAAAAACATATGGAATAGTTCAATTTTCATCTAAATATTCAATAAATAACACTTTTTGAATAAAAAGAGCGACGAACTAAATGCATGTAAATGACTGAAAATTGGAGGCTGGTACTGTAGTGCACCTACCTTTTTCTATAATAAGCTCACAATAGAAGAGATGATGTATAGATTACAAATAATTGAGATACAATAGATCTAGAAGGGCCAACGAAAACTCAAAAATTTAGTGAAGAGTGAAGACAAATCAAATACAAGTCAAGTAAGTCAACTGAAAATAGTAATCTCGTATTAATGTCATTTTTTCCTTACTTATAATTGCTATTCATTGAATAAAAAGATGTAAGATAAAAACACATATGTACTACTACTATGCTAATCCACATCCATTGATCATTCAATCTTACTTCTTTAACTGCAATGCATCTCTTTCTTCTTCAATCGCCATTGATTTACCTTTAGCCCGTCCAACCAAACAAATAAATTAGAAGTAATCAAACACAATACCTCTTTCAACCTAATAATTTTGACAGAGTATCAATGTGTTTATACAAATTATTAAGCATATCTTTCTACTTTGAATCGTCAAACCATCAATTCTTGTTTTCTAGATACAAATTTGATAATAATATAAATAAATAAAAACCCGTCAAAGCATTAGAAAGAAAAAAGAATCTGAAAAAGTCCGACAGCAAAAAATCACGTTCAGAAACCTTTAAAAAAGAAGAAAAAAAGAGAGGAAAACACCACTCTCCTTCCTTCCTCCTCCCATGGTCAGAGCAAGTAAGCTTTGAATATTTCAGATTTCCCTCTCACGAAAACCACCTGCATAAATACCTCACCACCAAAGCAACCAAAACCCAAATCCAAAAACAAACAAAACAACAAACAAAACCCATTTCTCCCCCTTTCAGCCATGGCTGCAGAAGGAAGAAGAATCAGCCTCCTCTGTTTTTTCACCACCCTCCTCTGTTTTTCCCTCCAAACTTCCGAAGCTAAAGTCCGTCACTACAAGTGGGAAGTGAAGTACGAGTTCAAGTCTCCCGATTGCTACAGAAAGCTCGTCATCACCATCAACGGCGGCACCCCGGGACCCACAATCATCGCCCAACAAAACGACACCGTCGTCGTCGACGTCAAGAACAGCTTGGGCACCGAGAACCTGGCCATCCACTGGCACGGAATCCGGCAGATCGGTTCGCCGTGGGCCGACGGGACCGAAGGCGTCACGCAATGTCCCGTTCTTCCCGGTGACACTTTCAGATACAAGTTCGTCGTTGACAGGGTAAGCTAATTTTAAAGTATTGAATTCTTTTTATCTCTTACTCCAACATCATCTTTTTTTAAGAATTTTCGTCTCGAGAGGTTTAATAATGGATCTTATATTTGTACGATCTGCAGCCTGGAACGTACCTGTACCACGCGCATTACGGGATGCAGAGGGAGTCGGGTCTGTACGGGTCGATTCGGGTTTCGGTTCCGACCGGCGAGTCGGAGCCGTTTGCGTACGACTACGACAGGAGCATCATTTTGAACGATTGGTACCATAAGACGCCTTACGAGCAAGCTGCAGGGTTGTCCGCCAAGCCATTCGTCTGGGTCGGAGAGCCTCAGGTACTGAATTCTGATACACATTTTCCGAAGCTTCTTACTACGTTTCCCATGACCAGATTGCCATCAACCCGAACCCATTCGAAAAATCAAAATTGGTTGAAGTTTCGTAACCTGAAATATGAACTACTGGAACTTGATTGACCAAGATTTTTTTTTTTGTTGGATTAAATGGACTAACTGATCGATGTGTTTCACGTCATTTTCACTCTCAAAATCACGAAATCACTCACGAATTGGTGAGATGTTTAAAAACATTCATAAGGATTCGAAAAACAAGTTTATAGTGTATGGATACTGAAAAAGCATGTGTATCTTGTAGTGTTATTACTTCTTCTTGTGATGTTTTTTTCTATATGTTTCACGTAATTTGTATTTCTTTTCATTAGTACGTGAGAATTTGAGAATATATGAACTAACATTTATTAGGTAAAACTATTAGCAGATATATATTACCCAACCCAACTCAATTTTCATGTCCAGTTTGGAGCCATGTTAAAACTTCGCTGACCTTCTTTTTCTTCGCCTTCTTCCTCCTACTTGGTATCGACTATGACAGTATAAGCCGAGCATCGGCGACGGTAGGGTTTAGGTGGATAGCTGCCGGCGGCTGGCCAGGGTAATGGATTGTTTGTTTAGGGTTTTGTTAGAAATCGGGATCTGAGGTTAAAAGTGTCAATTTGATGCATTTTAGGGCGACAACATTTGAATTTTAGAACGGCGAATAGCGATTTATTAAAACTATTGTGCACTAGATTTTGACACCATTATTATTTCTATTGATCACATTTGAATCACCAGCTACTATAACCTAATCAGATTCGTTTTCAATTTATTTTTGCAGTCACTATTGATCCATGGGAAAGGAAGGTTCAACTGCTCGACACCAGGACTCGGACTAGAACCCGCCACCTGCAACAACACAAACCCAGAATGCTCCCCGTACACCATGACCGTCGTCCCGGGAAAGACCTACCGGCTCCGAATCGGCAGCCTGACCGCCTTATCGGCGCTCAGCTTCCAGATCGACGGCCACAACATGACCGTCGTCGAGGCCGACGGTCACTACGTCGACCCGTTCGTCGTCCAGACGCTCTACATCTACTCAGGGGAGACATACTCTGTTCTGATCCGAACCGACCAGAACCCGACCCGAAATTACTGGATCGCCACCAACGTCGTCGGCAGGAACCGCACCACTCCGCCGGGAATGGGGGTTATAAATTACTACCCGAATCACCCGAAACGATCCCCGCCTCCGGCAAACATCCCGATCGCCCCGGTCTGGGACGATCGGCGGCCCAGAGTGGAGCAGAGTCGGGCGATCCGGGCCCGACCCGGACACGTACACGACCCGCCCCGGAGTTCGGATCGGGTAATTGTGATGCTGAACACCCAGAACGAGGTCGACGGGTTCCGCCGCTGGTCGGTGAACAACGTCTCCTTCAATCTTCCACACACGCCGTACTTAATCGGGCTGAAGCACAATTTGCTCCACACTTTCAGCCAGATCCCGCCTCCGGAAGACTACGACCGTGCGAGATTCAACGTTACGAGCCGGGCCAGGAATTCGAACCCGAACGCGACGGTCGGCGACGGGGTCTACCGGCTGGAATTCGGGTCGACGGTGGATCTGATCTTGCAGAACGGGAACACGATGGTGCCGAACAACAGCGAGACCCACCCGTGGCATCTCCACGGGCACGATTTCTGGGTTTTGGGTTACGGGGAAGGGGAGTTCGACCCGAAAAGGGATCCGAAGGGTTACAATCTGGTGGATCCGATTATGAAGAACACGGTGCCGGTTCATCCGTACGGGTGGACGGCGCTGAGGTTCAAGGCGGACAACCCTGGGGTTTGGATGTTCCATTGCCACATCGAGTCGCATTTCTATATGGGGATGGGAGTGGTTTTCGAGGAAGGGATTGAGATGGTCGGGGATTTGCCGGCGGCGATCGGCGGGTGTGGAGAAACTAAAGGCCTCAAGCTCCATGGGAAGCCATAGGACCAATTTTTTTAAATTTTTTTAAATTTTTAACTATAGATTCTTTGTTTTCACTTTATGATTTGTTGTACGAAGTAAATATTGATGGTTTGCGTTCTTAGTTCTTACTCTGGATTATAACTTATAAGACCGACCACCATGGTGATTTAATAGTTGTCTTTGTATAGAGGTAAGGAGGAAAAATATAGGTTTAGAGGAGAGTCGGGCAAATTTCTCGGGGTTAACGCGATTTGCTAGGCAGTAGTTAATACATTTTTAAAATATATGAATCTTTTTTTTTTTTTTTTTTACAAACTCAGTGTCACACCCGGTACCTAGAATTTTCTCAAATTTCCAAATTTACCCTCATTTAGTTATTATGATTAATTAATTAATTAACTCTATCTAACCCTAAACTAGTGCGGCAACAGGTGGGGATTTCTCCCTCTCAATGCATGTGGATATATATTTATATAAAAACTAAACCTAGTGGCCAAACCGTAGAAAGGAGAACCCTAAACCAATAAAACCAAGCATCAACGCCGCCTTGCCTCCGCCGATCAAACACCACCGCCACCTCCCAGTTCCCATCACCGCTACCTCCTCCCTCGACCAGTAGCAACTAGCAAGCGAGCTCCCAACGGAAACGACAGCCGGCAGAGACGCAAGCCGGGAGCGACGCTGACGCCAAACACGCACCCGTTTCCTCCGTACATCGTGTCCTCTGTTCGCCGGGCACGGTTGCTCTTGATTGTCCTCTCTCGTTCATAGTTTTGGCGGCGGGATTACGGCGAACCACGATTGACGACGAGGAGTTGACGTCCGGGAAGCCTCAAATCGTGCTTTGGGCTAGTGTTAGAGGGGAAAGGTGAAGGAAGAAGGAAAACGGTGTAGGGACACGTACAAGGCTTATAAGTACGTTTGGGATCGTCAGGGCAGGACATAAGTTGATAATCGACTTGGAATTAAGGTGCGTGGTTAAAGGGGACTAGAGTAGTTTTCGTTATCAGTCTATGCATTTAAAGTTCATTTATGCATTTCAGTTCTTGCTTTAGTTCAGTCCATCCTTATATGCTTTCATATTAAGTTGATTTGTTTACGTTCAGTCTTTACGTTTATATATGCATAGCATCATGAAGCATATGTAAACTACGTTACGAGTCAACCAAATGCAAGTTCAATTATAAGCTAATTAAGTTCAAGTTAATAAGCTTGTATCTTCCCATTGTGCGGGAGATCACCTAATTAAGCTCAAACTTCTCAAGTCAAGTAAGCAAGTATAAGATTAAGTATGACTCTCCATCGTGGGAGAGGTTGTTCAAGCAAGCATGTATAAGATATCAAGTTAATAAGTAAGAATAAGAACCCTCTCTTAACTAGTCGCACACGGTCACCTTACTCCTTGTAGATGAGGAGCACCTTGTAGATGAGGGGTCATGATATGTATGTCACGATCGGTGCCGGACGCGGTCACCACTACTCCCTGTAGATGGGGAGGTATGCTATGTTACTCCTTGTAGATGAGGAGGTTATGTTCATGATACGTTGGTGCTGGACGGATGTGCTAGTTAGGTCGAGGGCGGGATCCCATATCAAGTTAAGCAAGAAGAAAAGATTATAAGCAAGAATATGTTAGTAATAAGATACTTTTACTAATGTACCCAATAACATACCATAAGCATTGCATGTGCATGGCTTTCCATTTAAGTATGATAACGAAATTAGGATTAGGACTGACCCCATCGCCCGCACTCAGGAGGTACAAGAAAGCAGGAGCATTCAGACCACTGGTCAAGAGAAAGCTGTTGCTCAGGATGTCATCGTCACAAGGGTTAGTGATGGCAAAAGATTCCAAGTGAACTCTTTCACTTTTGTACTTTTATTAGTAGGCTTGAGACTGATGCTCATTTATGATTTGTTAAGAGGGATTTTCCTACGGTGATTTAGAAATTATTTTTCTGTATTATTTCCATTTTGAGTGATCTTGATTACTTAAGGGCATTTTGGTAAATTTAGTGCTCGGCCGAGCTAGGGTGTTACATTTTGGTATCAGAGCCTGGTTTCCCTCTGTCTTCACTTTGTAAGTGAGATACTGGGAAGTCGGTCTCCATGTTTCCTACGAGTATTAAGATTTAAGGTTTTAAGAAGTTTTCAACAAGTTTTCAAGTAAACCTAAAATTATTTTAGAGCATCCAGTCTCGTCTACTAACAAGTGCAATGTTTCCAAGGTTCTGACACAATGTCATTGAACTTATGTAGGAGTATGAATAGCGAGAGCTCTCGTCAGGGTGATGGTCGGCGGCCGCCCCCAAACTATACCTTGCTTAGGAAAATGGGGGTGGTTGACTTCGAGGGATCCTCTGACCCCGACATTGTCGATGCATGGCTGTTGAAACTCACTCGGACTTTGGATGAGCTCCGTATTGATAATGGTGAGGATAGGATCGCCATGGCTGTCCACGTGCTCCAGGGAACTGCTAGGGATTGGTGGCATCTCCAGCCGGAGAGTGAAGTGGTACCTCTTGAGATCACCTGGAACCAGTTTGTGAAGATGTTCCTCGATGAGTACATCCCCCAAACCGTCCGGGACGATAAGAGGGAGGATTTCATGAAGTTGGAGCAACAGTGGGGGCAGAGTGTCACGGAATACACAGAGCTATTCAAGAAGTTGTGCAAGTATGCTGATCCCGTGTACCGGACTGCAGCAGGGATGCGAGATCGTTATGTTCGGGGTTTGAGAGCAGAACTAAGAAAATGTATGGGAGAAGCAGAGAGGGCATCTCAAGCCACTGCATACCGAGCTGCCCTTCGCATTGAGAGGGATGAGAAGATGGCTGAACAGGAGAGGGATGCGAGGCTTGGTACGAAGAAGAGGAAGGAGCCAACCAACTCTGGGGCCACGACTTACTCGACCCAACCTTTCAAGAGGGGATCTGGTTTATCTAGCCAACAGCAGTCCTGGAGCCAGGAGATCTCCACGAGGTATGCACCAACACAACAACTATATCCACTATGCCCCAAATGTGACAAGCGTCATCTGGGTGAGTGTAGGCGTAATATGGGTGTCTGTTTTGAGTGCGGAGAGCCGGGACATATAAAGTGGAATTGCCCACGACTTGCAGACCATACAAGAGTTATTTCTGAGCCATCAGTAGCTGGGGGTAGGGCACAGTCAGGAAGTAGGTTCAGTGGCCGGACTAACAACTTCGACAGCAACAACAATGGTGGACGTTTCAATGGCACCAATACCCACAATGTCAGTCGTGATCAGAGCCAGATGTCCAGAGCGGGTGGACGGCCAAGAGTCTTTGCTATGGAAAAGATGGCCAGTGGCTGTGGAGAAGATGGAAAGGATGAACCAACGCTTTGAAGTGACTATGGGGTGATTGAAAGACTATGAGATGGAACTATTTGTTCTTGATTATTTGAATTGGTTTATAGTCTAGTATGGTCGGTTAGTAGCATTATGATCGGTTTGTAGTCTTTCCCAACATTTATGTTAGTATAATCTCAATTTCGAGGACGAAATTTTCTTAAGGGGGAGGGAAATGTCACACCCGGTACCTAGAATTTTCTCAAATTTCCAAATTTACCCTCATTTAGTTATTATGATTAATTAATTAATTAACTCTATCTAACCCTAAACTAGTGCGGCAACAGGTGGGGATTTCTCCCTCTCAATGCATGTGGATATATATTTATATAAAAACTAAACCTAGTGGCCAAACCGTAGAAAGGAGAACCCTAAACCAATAAAACCAAGCATCAACGCCGCCTTGCCTCCGCCGATCAAACACCACCGCCACCTCCCAGTTCCCATCACCGCTACCTCCTCCCTCGACCAGTAGCAACTAGCAAGCGAGCTCCCAACGGAAACGACAGCCGACAGAGACGCAAGCCGGGAGCGACGCTGACGCCAAACACGCACCCGTTTCCTCCGTACATCGTGTCCTCTGTTCGCCGGGCACGGTTGCTCTTGATTGTCCTCTCTCGTTCATAGTTTTGGCGGCGGGATTACGGCGAACCACGATTGACGACGAGGAGTTGACGTCCGGGAAGCCTCAAATCGTGCTTTGGGCTAGTGTTAGAGGGGAAAGGTGAAGGAAGAAGGAAAACGGTGTAGGGACACGTACAAGGCTTATAAGTACGTTTGGGATCGTCAGGGCAGGACATAAGTTGATAATCGACTTGGAATTAAGGTGCGTGGTTAAAGGGGACTAGAGTAGTTTTCGTTATCAGTCTATGCATTTAAAGTTCATTTATGCATTTCAGTTCTTGCTTTAGTTCAGTCCATCCTTATATGCTTTCATATTAAGTTGATTTGTTTACGTTCAGTCTTTACGTTTATATATGCATAGCATCATGAAGCATATGTAAACTACGTTACGAGTCAACCAAATGCAAGTTCAATTATAAGCTAATTAAGTTCAAGTTAATAAGCTTGTATCTTCCCATTGTGCGGGAGATCACCTAATTAAGCTCAAACTTCTCAAGTCAAGTAAGCAAGTATAAGATTAAGTATGACTCTCCATCGTGGGAGAGGTTGTTCAAGCAAGCATGTATAAGATATCAAGTTAATAAGTAAGAATAAGAACCCTCTCTTAACTAGTCGCACACGGTCACCTTACTCCTTGTAGATGAGGAGCACCTTGTAGATGAGGGGTCATGATATGTATGTCACGATCGGTGCCGGACGCGGTCACCACTACTCCCTGTAGATGGGGAGGTATGCTATGTTACTCCTTGTAGATGAGGAGGTTATGTTCATGATACGTTGGTGCCGGACGGATGTGCTAGTTAGGTCGAGGGCGGGATCCCATATCAAGTTAAGCAAGAAGAAAAGATTATAAGCAAGAATATGTTAGTAATAAGATACTTTTACTAATGTACCCAATAACATACCATAAGCATTGCATGTGCATGGCTTTCCATTTAAGTATGATAACGAAATTAGGATTAGGACTGACCCCATCGCCCGCACTCAGGAGGTACAAGAAAGCAGGAGCATTCAGACCACTGGTCAAGAGAAAGCTGTTGCTCAGGATGTCATCGTCACAAGGGTTAGTGATGGCAAAAGATTCCAAGTGAACTCTTTCACTTTTGTACTTTTATTAGTAGGCTTGAGACTGATGCTCATTTATGATTTGTTAAGAGGGATTTTCCTACGGTGATTTAGAAATTATTTTTCTGTATTATTTCCATTTTGAGTGATCTTGATTACTTAAGGGCATTTTGGTAAATTTAGTGCTCGGCCGAGCTAGGGTGTTACACTCAGTTTCATTAAACTGAAAAACAGATACAAAGTTTAGGTACAAACCCATGGAGAGACAATCATAATAAATAAAGAAAAGAAACGGGCTCATTCCTGTAAGCCCACCACATCAACAAAAATAACAATATCAAAGCCCAAACATGGAGGCCCACAACGAAATACCCACTCCTAAACCCTATCTAGAATGAACCACCACAAAGAGATCGCTGCCGCCGCTCAACAAACCAATCTGCCAAGACCTCAGAAGCCGCCGACCAGACGAGGAACACGATGCCACAGAGGAGCTTCGACCCGTGGATGAAGGCGAAGACGCACCCAAAACGCGGAGACGACCACCAAGAGCAGGGCAGAAACCAAAGGAAAAGCATGCAACGATCTCTAAGTGAGGCATCCCCATCTTCAAATCCATAAACCGCATCCGAGCCAAAACACGAAGGAAGGCCACAACATCTCCGGATCATCGCGATCTGTTGGATGAAACAAGGAGGTAGATGAAAGATTCAAGGAAAGAAGATGAGTTGAAGAAGAAATCGACAACCCCCTTTGTAACTGGACAAAAGAGCTCCAAGAACTCTAGATCTGAAGATCAGACCAGAACTGGAGAAGGAAAAGAACCATCTCATAAAGAGAGATTCAGCAACAGACCCACAAAGGGGGACAGAGAACTAGAAGGAGAACTGAAAATGGAAAAAAGCAAGTAAAGGAAGAAGATAAAAAAACTAGAGAAGGCCGCCACCGGTAGCCGGCAGCAGCCCTCGAGGAAGAGGCGAAAGAGGAAAATATATGAATCTTCAAAAGATGATATTTCAACTATTTGACATTTGATTAAAAAAAATAGTAGAAAATTCATTTTCCCCCTACAAACTAATATCTATTTTAATATTTTTTTGTCACTCTTACTATAATGATAATATCACTAGCTTATATTCCGACTCGTTGGCCGAATGTAGTTTAGCCAATAATCTATTATGATAATTTTAGTAGTGGCAAGGATAATGTTTAAATTCATATTGGACAACAATTTTCCAGCAATTTTGTAATCCCTAGAGGTAAGAACTTATCATATAAGTACCAAAGAAATCGTATAATAATCCAAATCAAGTCTTTGGCCGCTACTTGTGTCGTGATTGTTAAGTTAGCAATATGGTAATGAACTGACTGGTTTTAGGCCGTATAGAGGACAGACTTTTATAGACACATACGTCAGTTATACACCCAATAAAAAAGAGGCTACAACTATCGTTAAGCTTTAACCAAGGCATATGCATCTACTACATATTGTTGAAAAAGTTTTCCCGCTAACAATAATGAATTGGATTCCTCGATACGTGTTTGAAGCCGATAACTATAATAATGATATTGAGTTATATTCCGACAGCAAATCACATACTGCTGAAAGTAATGATGATGAGGAGTAAGGACCTTAAATTGAAGGTCCCAACTAATAACAAAAGAAGAAGCGGGATTAGGAAATCGTCCTAGGTTATTTGGGTCGAGTATGTTATAAACGCGCTGCTACGGATCGGGAAATCGCTGGAATCGACAAAGCAAGAATACGAAAGCGAGAATCGAAAAACACAGACACACAATTTACGTGGTTCACTAACACGATGTGTGTTACCTACGTCCACGGGCGAGAGAGAGCCAGTTTCACTATATCAAGGAGATTACAGATTACAGAGGAATATGAGAAGTATATATAGTACTTCTCCATGTGGGTCTAAACCTAATCCAATCTGGCAAAGGAAACGGTTACAGACCAGGCCCAGAACCCCCGATTACCAGTCGTAGCGGCTGATAGTCCGATTCAAGTCACATCAACAAATCTCCACCTTGACTTGAATCCTCTTCCTCTGAAATCTCTGATGTACTCTGCTCCTTCTCTCTCTCTCCCGCCATCAATGCCCCGTAGGGCGGAGTCACCCACTCAAGACATTCAGCAAGTCCAAGCAGTGTTGGAACTTGCCATGTGGAACCGGCTTCGTGAACATATCAGCAGGATTATCCGCGGTGCCAACCTTCTTCACCTTAATCCTCTTCTCTGTCCTCAGGAAATGATACCTCACATCGATGTGCTTAGTCCTCTCATGGTGGACTTGATCCTTGGCCAAGCATATTGCACTCAAACTGTCGCAATACAGCACTGCCTAATCATGATGTAGACCCAGATCACCAACCAGTCCCTTCAACCATATTCCCTCCTTAGCAGCTTCTGTCAACGCCATATACTCTGCCTCAGTAGTAGACAATGTCACCGCCGACTGCAGAGTTGCCTTCCAGCTCACTACAGAACTCCCAAGAGTGAATACATAACCGGTCATCGATCTCCTCGTGTCAACATCTCCAGCATAGTCCGAGTCAGAATACCCAGACACCAAGCACTCTGTATCACTTCCGAAGCTAATCTCCACATCAGGTGTACCCTTAAGGTACCGGAAGATCCTCTTCACAGTCTGCCAATGCTCCTTCCCAGGTTGTATCATAAACCTGCTGACAACACTAACAACATGTGCAAGATCAGGTCAGTGCATACCATAGCGTACATAAAGCTACCTACTGCACTAGCATATGGGACTCTCGACATGTACTCCTTCTCAGCCTCTGACTGCGGTGCATAAGCTGAGTATAGATGAACATTTGAAGCACTAGGAGTATTTAAGGGCTTTGCTGAAGATATGCCAAACCTCGACAGTATCTTATGTATGTAGCTCTTCTATGACAAGAAAATCTTCTTCTTCGACCTATCCCTGTAAATCTCCATAACCAAGATCTTCTGAGCAGCTCCCAAATCATTCATCTCAAACTCAGCACTGAGAAGCCCCTTTAACTTCTGGATATCAGACTTTGACCTCGCAGCTATGAGCATATCATCCACATACAGAACTAGATATATCATCGAACCATCCTTTGCCTTGCTGTGATATACACAACAATTATATGGACTTCTGTTGTAGCCCAGCTCAAGCATGTAACTGTCAAATCTCTTGTACCACTGCCTCGGAGATTGCTTAAGTCCATACAAGGACTTCTTCATCTTACAAACATAGTCTTCTTTTCCCGGAACCTCGAATCCTTCTGGTGAGTCATGTAAATTTCTTCTTCCAACTCTCCATGTAGGAAAGATGTCTTCACATCTAGCTGCTCGAGCTCCAAGTCATAATGTGCCACTATTGCTAGTAGCACTCTGATCGAAGTATGTCTGACCACTGGTGAGAAAATCTCATTGTAGTCAACTTCTTCCCTCTGCGAGAAGCCTCGTGCAACCACCCGAGCTTTAAATTTCATGCCCTCTTTAGAAGTGATTCCTTCCTTCTTCTTGTAGATCCACTTGTTTGTAACAATCTTCCTTCCCTGTGGTCGTTTGACTAGCTCCCAAGTCTGATTCATGTCATGGGATTCCATCTCATCTCCCATTGCGGCAAGCCACTGATCAGCTTCACCACCCGAAACTGCTTCTCTATAGGACTGTGGCTCTCCTGCATCCACTTCCTCAGCAACCTGAAATGAATACGCCACCATGTCCTCGAAGCCATACCTCTGTGGAGGTACTCCTGCAGTCGCTCTCTTCGGTCTACCGGAAGCAATAGACTGTTTAGCTCGTGCACTGGACTCTGAAGTTTCTGGCTCTGCAGAGACATCATCATCATGTTGATCTTCTCCACCTTGGTGCTCAAACTCACTCTCATTGAGAGTTTGCAGCTCCACCTGCTTATCAACATTCCTGCTACCTTCAGCAACAGTAACCTTCAACATGGGGTTAAACATAGACTTCTCATCAAATATCACATTTCTACTAAGTATAACTCGATGCTCAGAAGGTGACCAGACTCGAAATCCCTTAACTCCATCTCCGTAACCCACAAATACACCCTTCTTTGCCCTTGGGTTCAGTTTACCCTCATCCACGTGATAATAAACAGGACACCCA